ATCCAAAGCTCGCACGTTCGTCTTGTGGACGATACAGTACGGAGGTTATTGGCAGTCAACTTTGGCCGGTGACCCTACAAAAGGACGTGCTAGGCTGGCAAGAAACCCTAGACTGCTGGTTTTTTTGCGGATTTCATAATCCCAAAAAGGTCGATTGATAGGTAATTCATAAGTGTCAACTAATAGCCCAGACCCGTCTTTATCCGATATTCTTCCGCTGAGAGATGTTCGGTGCATCAGAGTGTCCCATGGTGCTCCTGTCCTGCTGTCTGTTATGCACATTAATTTGGAACTTGCATGTCTTTAATTTCCCCAAAAAACGGACAGCTACGTTAGAGTAAATCAGATTATATGGGGCTAATTTGCTCAGACCGAAGTAACCGTTAGTTACCAACTTAGAGTTTTTTTAAATCTCATTTGTGTTTACCTTTAGCTAAAAATGCTTCGATACTGATCACAGTTTTGTTTAGTGCACCTCGACTTACATGCAATGAATCAAAGTACGACAGTAAGTGCGAGGTTGAGATTGGGCTCCAAAGCTAAGCGGATGTGCATATTTTGCAACATGATTGATAGACGATCGCAACCAACAAAGCGATAAGCCTGTTGAACAATGGTGGTGCACTGCATTTGAAAACTGTTAGTGACCGAAGGATTCGGATTTTAACCCCAAGTCTTGCAAAATCGTGATTAGTAACGACTGGTTGATGACGGCTGGTAGGAGAGAAGTGGGAGTCCTAGTTTACTCTTTCCATTGTTGTCTGGTTTTATTGATATAGTTAAAATAACTCCAGTGCATCGATACTTCCGATGACATCATCGATTAATTTATCGGGCGATTAATAATTAATCGGCTATTATCACAATCCTGCGTTATTTTATGATGTCGGTTGTTGGAATTATGAGGGTATGATGCACTTCGCCCAACTTCTTATAACAGAAGTGAAAAACGCTAATTTAAGCTTTTATTTTCCTGGAATGACTTGCATTCAAATAATTGCCGACGCATACTTCGTATTTATGACGAAAACCTATTTGTACTCACGAAAGATGCATTTAGATAGCTAGTGTTTCACGAGTCAGCCTCTGTGACCAGCCATTCTGCGTGCATGGATGAATTAAAAACAGACGCCGAATAAGAAAAATCGTTTTATGAAATTAATAACGTCGAGGTTTTCCCTCAAATTTCAGATATTTGTAGGAACTCTGTGAGTTTTGGCGCAGACAAGAGAATACCATACGGTCGCTCAGTGCGTGCCCGGAAACACAGACATAAATGCTTAATAACCGACAAGTAAGCATTCGACCAATTTGGAATTGATCCATTTCTGATAACTGGAGATCCATGTAGAGTCGTTGTAATTTTTGTAAAAAAATGGAATAAATTCCCGACTGACTAGACAGATTAGACCGGTAGAGGTGATGCGTTAGTCCACTTGCAGCGGGTTTCGGTTAATGAAAACTGACCTTCGTTTATTAACAAGAGAACATGGGAAATTCCAGATAAAAGGTTTTTTGGTCAAAAGAAGAAACGATCGCTGGATCAAGGGCTTTATTCGCCAAGGGCGAATAATGATAATGAATGTTTAAACTCCACCTGTGTAAACCTTCCTTATCAAGAGTGCCTTTCATAATTTCAGTCAACATTTTATGACATCGATCACTCACAGTATATGCTCAAGCCAGTATCGCATAGCGAGTTTGTGTTACGGTCCTGAACTTTTTAAGCCGCCTTATTATGTTTTAGAACGAAGCCTTATTGAAATTGCACAAATAGAAAAGTTGGAGAACGACTCGGATGCGATTAAGCTCAGGCCTCATCATAGAGCCTACTAGCTTAGATAGCTTAAACTTTTGCAGTGCTAAGGCCTTCGATTGCCATAGTATATCCGAAACCCACCGAGGCGCCGAGTCTTTTACAGTTGAGTCAATATGAATTATGCTAAATTTGCCCAAATATCTGTTAAAAATGAATAAGTGCACCTACAATAGAGCATATGTAAGCACTGGACAACTTAAAAAGGCCCACATTTTCTCTAAACGGCAATAGCAGAACAGGGAAAAATCATAGCGTCAGGACATTTCCCATGCCTTCTTGTTAATAAAAGGATGTCGGTGTTCAGCAACCAAAACCTGATGTAGGAAAACGGATGTATTACCTCTGCTTGTCTAATTGCTATAGTCAGCCAGGTATTTATTTTAAATATTTAAGATTGCATCGCTATTAAAGGACTCTTTAGAAAACGCCAAACAAAAGACAACATTAACGTAGCTTAATCCATAGAAGCTGTAGAAAACAGGACAAAATTACCAATTTTAAACCCAAGAGAGTAATGTATTATGTAAAAATATTAAGTGCCCTTGTTTGACCATAATTGCGGCAGAATTGATAGTTAGTTTCGGGAAAGCGTGGTGCGATATGTCTGATACGGCCATCTTTCCATTTGGTTTGACAGCGTGCAGACGGTTTGCAGACGCACTTGTATATGCGTGTGTCCGTCATGTTTTACGCAAAAGACATCGGACTGTTGCCCGGGGATGAACAGAGAAAGTGAGATTGATAGTATCCATGCATGTTTCTCACTATAAGCAGTCTGACGCGCTTAAACATATCACGATGAGTTAAAATGTGTGGCTTGCAAGGTTGCCATCTTGCGCGACAATACGGACCTCAAAGTCAGCCAAGGGTGCGTTCATGGCCGACTGGTGTACTGAGAACTAGGTTGTGAATACTCTTTCTTAATGTGTCCTCTATGACACACCCACTCCGTCGGATCGAAATGGGGCTTTTGGCACAGCCAAGGTACAGCTTCCCGCTGCGCTTCTCACTGGCCTCCTGCGAGTACAAACGCTGTTTCTCGTGCAACTATAACGCACAGAAGTAAAAGTAATATTTTTTTGACATCGTAGAGACGGATAAAACTTACTGCCCCTACCCAAGTATCTCTAAATTACCTCGTGCACAGAATGAAGTAACGGATTATGGTTGGGCGGTGTGACTTTTTTTAGGCTGCGTAAATAAATGTGCTATATTATGAAATGTGCACCGAAATTCCGAGAAGCGTTTTCGATTCCAGAATATTGCTTAAGTACTGTTAAAATATTAATTATCGCGCATCACATTCTAAAGATATTTTAATCGCGTTGGGATGTCGGTTTTTGGACAAACCTTTTCTGGGTTGCCTGCAAAAATGACATGTTGAAGAAATGACTACTTAAGTTGCGCAACTTTTTCCCTGGATGTTTATGTAACTGGAGTTTAAGATCTGTGCTAAAGAGAACATGCACAAGGGCATGGTTTTTTCTACTCTTTTATTAAAAAACGCTGACATTTTTAATTTTCAAGGTTCAAGAACGTATATATTTTGGCGTTGAGAAATATTTTATCTAAAATTGCAAGGGCATATGAGATCAATGGATAGGATTTATACCAACTAAATAGTGATTTCTCTTATAGGTTTAGTTTTTTCGGGCAGTCGGAAGGGAGGACTTTTAAAAGATGGCAAACTGGTCTGGCTGAACTATCTTGATTTTATGCTTGTGAATATTAATTACTATTGAAGCAGCCAATACGGATAAAAGGCACATATTATGATTGCTGTTGGCGTCTTATGAGATAGTACGCCAAGTGTGTATTATAAGTAAGCATTTCGAAGTACTCGTGACCCATGTGAATGACCTATATGTTTACCACGTACTTCGTTGTGGGACGTTATGCATTCACTGGAAGCGAAGATGCTTGCAGTATGGACATTTTCAATTATCATCATTCCCGCATTTATAAACGAATACAAAAGGCATGTTTTTTACGTTATTTCTGATCCTTTCACTGGCAGGCCGAAGACTAGTTTATTAGGCAAGCAGTAGTTTTCTTACAAATTTAATTTCTCGCAGACCTAATTTTAGGGAGCTTTGGTGGAAATCACATGATGGCGGAAAAATGAATCCCAGTCTTTATGATGTCATTACTCTAACCAGCTAGACGTGGGTATTTAGTTGTGCTAAATGGAGAAAAACATTGAATTCTTCCACTGGTCAAATTTAATTTTTTTTAGAAATGACGTTGACCGACTAAGCGCACATGCAAGAGTTTTGCTGACTGCCACTTAAGGAGCCACAATAAGTTTCATCGCAAACCATGTGAACTGTCCTGCCCATCAGCGGTTAGTTTTGTGGTGAAAACCACTTGGTCGAAACATTACTTTCACGAGTGGCCTATGACATTTGGCTTATTTGCGGCTGCTTGACCCAACTTGGGGCTACCTACTGTTGTAGGTCCCACGCAAATATACTTGACTGAGGTTTTTTTCTGACCAATTATGGGAAGTGCTGTTTTGTTTTCATTTTTCATCCAACAGAAGACGAGACGAAAACAATTAATCCAATAGCCATTAATCTCAGGCGGTTGGGGTTAAAACCTTTATTAGTCTTCCATGATGCCAACCTAGATTTATTTGGTCGGTGCAAAAATGCTTGCCAATGATCAGGTTAATTTCAACGCTTTGATGAGATCTAAATGTTCTGCCTTAACAATTAGACTGTCGACACTCTGAATACGTATAAATGCATATTTTGAGCACAGTTTGTGTGGTGAGCTAGGATGTGCATCAAAAATTACTAAAGGTTTGACCACTGATTTTGCAGAAATGGCATCTTTTGAAATCCGTTATCCGAAATTTATACGTGGTCGCTTAAGAAACGACTGATAGGAAAATCATCTTCATTGAATTGTCGGACGTTTATGGAAGCTACGTAAACAGGCAGCCATAGCTAACAACTTCTGCATTTGACCAAAAACCGTGCACGAATATTTGTCACCTTTACCACAAAAGACAAAATAGAGTGCTTTTATTTGGCTTAATCATTTTTATTTCTGCCGGTGACAATAACAATATAAAATAGAAAGCGCAGACCAGTTGTTTATGGTTTTTGTGGTAAACAAACAATCCATTTGGACGCAAATTCAGTGCATATAAGAATATGCTGTTATCTTTGGTCTTCTATGGCGAAGGCGTTTTGGGCAGTAACTGAGCAGGCATCTGTATGGGTTCAGAAGCTCCGTTTGATTGGAGGTTACTAAAATTGCTGTCCAGCAAGCATTCAGCACCATTAAGATCTGCAGCTTTAATGTTTGATACAATGACAGAGGCGCCATGGTCACCGATGGTATCAGTTCCCTCAGGGCCTTTTTTGCTCCAACTCTTCCTGCAAGTGATATAAATGAACTCCATAATCTCTACAAAAAATGCAAAAGTCATCCCAATGTACAACGAACACAAGCCGCCAATTCGACTGAAAAGGGCGTTCTCGGTCAGCACAAGATTTTCATTTTTGATGACAGTGTCATTGCTTTTTCTCTTTATCAACAGATATGTGTAGCGGTCGTTGAAGACGAAGGCTTTGCTGTCGAAGGACCCAGGGCGCAGCTCGTTTACATGAAAATCAGTGAGATTTTTTGTTTTTAAGAAGTGATGGATTAGACGTGCTTCGTTTGACGTCAAAGAACCGTTGAGAGCTGAGTCAAATAGGCTGGAGGTTTTCTGACTCCAGTAGAGCTGCCAACTGGTCGGTCTCCACATTGTTACAGAGACTTCAGTTTCGTATTCGGTCACAACACAGCGCCTCAGGCATATCTTCTCCACTTCGATCTTCTTACGCAGTACGGCTGCATTGCCAATAATTGACTGGGCGCATCGTCTCCTACGAATTACTAGTTCTTCATCTAGTAGGCCATCTGCATCAGCTAATAACTGACCGCAGTAGGGCAGGGTTGTGTTCGGCGGGTAGATTCGAGGAAAGTATGCATAGAGGCATCCACAGCGTTGTACAACTAGATTTTGTATATAGCTACTGAGACACATTTCAAACTGGTAGTCGTATTGCTCCTCAAGATCCACAAACTTCTGGTCTGGATTTGAAAAGCAGGGCTTGTTTGGCCGATTGTAATGAAGCATTTTAACTGTCTGGAAGGTCATTTCATTCATGCGACCCGGCGCGACCTGAAAGCCATGCCTCTCCAGACTTCCATGTTGACCAGGCTCGTGTATGACTACTCGTAGCCCGTATGCCTGTTCAAACAAGTCGAAGAGGAAGGCCTGACGTTCGCTTTTGCCATAGTTCTCGTCGGGTCCTAACCAGAGTATTAGACCCAATTCATTAATGTGTTCGGATGCTTCTTTCATAATTTCTACACTGTAACAGTTGAAGTATTTGGGATCGGATTGTTGCCGAATCTTCAGCATGGGATCTACACAGCCTGGCCCAGTGAGCATCCAGTTGCTGCCATATCGTAGGAGACAAAGGGCGAAGACGTCATTTGCATTATGTCCCAGTGCTCTGTGATCGGGCCATTTAAGACTTTGATAGTAAATTGACAATGTGTCATATAGGAGACCCTGGACAAGCGCCTCCTGGATGAGAGAAGCGTTGATGAGCTCAATGCTGGCTGCTGGATCCTCGGGAATTTTAATGGCCTTTTCGAGAATCTTTGCAGCGCGGTCTCGCAACATCTGGTTAAAATGTGTTGGCGACATCACCCTATTCTCTCTCCAAAGCTCGTAGGCCCGGGAGGAAAAGGGCTGATGGTTACAAAAAGTCACAGCTGGAAATTCAGTTGGCGCATCCATGCTAATATAAGTCTGAATATTCACCGAATACTCTGTATATTCGTTCACAAGTTTCATGATTGAGAAGTGAAGCAAAAGAGTCGTAAGAAAAACGTAGACCGTCCATAGTATTTTTAGAGTTCGGTCCGTAGACTTTACTATGCGATTACATCCACGAATCGAAGTGGATTCAAGAAAGCGAAAAGCGTGCTGCTTCAGTTCTTGCATTCGCTGGTGACATGGTCTTCTGGAATTCGAAAAAGGTTGTAGTTTGCTCCCTGTCATTGGTCAGTGATAAATGAGATATGTTGTCTTCATAAATTGTGTGCTGGCTAAAGATTGAACATAACGTATAGGCCAAGATTAGAGAAAATATACAATCTTTCCACCTTTATCAATAGGTTTACAATCAGACAACTTTGTTCAGCAAGTTAAAAAAATCAAAAACACTTCAACGAATATAGCTGCCTCAACTTATTTAAAAAGCCGACTTAAATGATTGAAAATCACAAATAGTTATTTTTTCTCACAAAGGTCAGTAAACATTAGATTCAGATTTATGTGTTCTAGACAATAGACTTTTACTAGACAAATGAACAGTACATAAACGACTTTGGAAAATGTATCAGCTCAGCTTTTGGTCATTGTGATTTAAAAAAATTTATGTTTATTTTACGGGCATGGAGCAAAAGTTTTCTTGACCGTATTTTTACACATAAGTTAATGAAATTTAAAAAAATTAAAATTTACAGGTTAACGTCCGTCATTTGCATTTATTTAAGTATGCCATATACAGTTCAAAAGATCAGTAGAGTAAACATACCTACGAACGCAACCATCATGCGTAAAAAGTAAAATACAATCATAGAAGTAGTAAGCTGAGTAGGTTTCTTAAGCGCTATTGTCGGATCATACGCATGTATATAATTTTTTATAAAAAATAACCCGTCAGAGCATAAAGAGTGGTGCGTTGTGCGCCATGAGGATGAATAATATATATTGGCAAGTGCCGTCTTAATTCCGCCTTAATTACCTTACTCTAGTTACATACTTTCGCTTTAACATGACCTGCCGAATCTTCTTCCCCACCTTTGACTTACGAAATTTATGCTTGACTGGAAAGGTGCTTGCATATGCGCGTTTTGAATGCTCTGGAGGATTAATTTTTTGTACTTTATTGGTACCAGATTAGTCGGCTAGGATGTATTTGCCACTGCCGTCAGCAGTAACTTAGACGAGATAACAGGAAGAACGGAAGGTAAAAGCGTTGTCTCAGTGAAGATAATCGAGATAAGGCCGAGGGATTCCTTAGCGTTAACGCCTACGAAGACCGTGCAAAGTTATCCTGAAAGAGTAATCCGAAGACATTGTCAGAGAGTGTCCTGATTAAAAGTTTCTAACTGGTTGGACCATTTTGGCCGCAAGGCTTACGATTTCGTTTGTTAGGCGAGTGCTATAATTAGCAGCTGTATGGGTCTTGTTCACTCTCGGATTTTAAGATTTCCTCACCAAGTGACAAACGACAAAGTCGGCAACCAGAATTACAATACGAATTAACCCTTGTATATCTGCTAGTCTGAGTTTAATAACCCTGGTTAACAGACGACAGGAACTAATATAAAGACATATTTGAAGGTGTTTAAGTAAAAATAGGTACACGCAGAATATAAAATTAACACTTGCTGACTGAAAAATGTAAATTTGATAAAATGTTCGAGTATGTCACTTCAAAAAATAGCCGTATATTTTACAGGTTGACCAGTTCCAGTTCAAAAACTTGTGAAATCAAGCGAAAGGCCTTCTTGAACTTAAAATGCGGCCGACATTCGTTTTGGAAACTAACAGTATGAAAGAGATAAATTCGGAATTTTTCGTTTTCGTCTAGGCTACCCATACGATAACATTTCGGGAGTAATTGCACAAAGTAAAAAGCAAAATTTGAAAACGATGGAAAGAGATCACAACTTCCGTCATGACGCGTGCATCAAAAAAATTGTTTTCTGAAACTCTGTTTGGTTGAGTATAGCAGATTTTAGAATTAACTAGAACGCAAACGTCCACAACTTGCTTATTTTGTAAAATATTTCGGATGCTACCGAGGCGGGAATTACACAATCAAATTCGTTACTATATTTACTAATATATATTCAATACGTTTTGTATGAGAGTCACATAGTGTCTTGATCAAAGTGTTTTAAGGACCTTAAATGACACTTCGAAATTGGTAAATAACATAGTTGGAAAATGTAAAGAACATGATAATCTTTAAACTTTTACAATTTTCATTTGAATAAGTAATACCCTATTCATAATGCAGCTCCTCCATCGTAACTTAGCATTTGAACACTGAGCCTTTAAGTAGGCCACGGCGGCCAATGGGTAAGTAGCCAATCACGTCTGGTTAAGACAATTCCAGACTTTATTAACAATACCGCAGACCCTCTGAAATAATCCGTAATAATCCATAAGTAAGAACTAGGACACGTAACCAGTCCATGAACGTTTAGCAAATCACTGAAGGTGACTGTTATTACAGTCTTTTTATGCAGCGTTTTATCAGAAGCCTTGCGCAATAAAAGAATAGCAGTTTAATTAAAACTCGCATTTATTTTCCGCACCCAAATTTTTTTTCGCCAAATTGGTAAACAACTAAGACAAAAAGATTTAACCTCACTGTCATTCCTTACCTGAAAGCTAAATGTGCATGCCAACTTTAAATGAACGATGCGCATTTAAATTTTCATAGATTTGGCGATATCATTTATTAACCTATTACCAAAGCTAAATATAAAAGTTCAGCACGGTATTATTTCATTAAGCGGCTGTACGAACGTATTTCCCGCCTATGTGATCATCAACGTTTATGATCTTAGACCAAAAGAAGTGCTCAAATTTTAAGCTAATTTAGGCGTGCAAAAAATCCTAGTATCTCTCATGTGATTTGCGAAACATTTTCGGCTGAAAATTCCTTTCTTCAGACCTATTGCATCTAATCCTGAAAATCTCCAGACAATCTTTGATGGTTTGTCGGTCCCATGCCAACAGTTACGAATAAAATGCGTATTGCTAGTTGGAAACTATAAGGACAAATTTTTCAATCTTAAGTAAAATTTTGGATCTTTTAGAAATATGTTGCTAACCGTGAATTTATGTCGACGATTTGAGGAAACGCCAACTTTGCATATCATTTTTATGACTATCAAAGCTGCAATAAATTTGCTGCATTTAAAGTGCGTAAACCCGTGGTTTAGCGTAACCTACTCCGTAAGTAACAAGACGGTCATGGGAGTGTAAATCAATGTACGCAGATAATTTGCGTACATTTATCAGGGGTTGTAAGTACCTAATGGTAGCCTCTGCCTTTGCTTCTTTAATATCAGGCTTTACGCAAGATGACACTTGGGAGTTCGTCCGCCCTGCCCGACATCGCCCACCATGAGCTCCACAGGAATGCGAAACAGGCCTTGTGACTTTGGCAGGATCCATCGCACTCTCTCCTCCTCCCTACCCAAGTCCGGTGTTAAGTTATAGTCAAGAAGATCACACGCGGCAAAGGTGCAGGTGGCTGACACGGCCGGATCCTCTCCTAGGCGTACCTTAACACTCCTGGTCCACAACAAACACTTGTCCGGGATTTTAATTGACTAATATATCACAACGGGTAAGAGAGGGCGTCTACCAGCAGGAAAGCAGGGAACAACGAACTGCCAGTGCACATCAAGTGGCGAGAGCTACGGATCACTGAAAAATGACATAGCAGACACTCCCGAAACTTAAACCCCAAGCAGTCATTTAATGGGTCAACGGTATGCAGGTTCTCAGGAGAGCAGACAAAACACCTTTAGCTTGATCGATTAAGCAGATCAGAAGTTTTTATACGCTTACAGGTACAGAGATCATACACCTTTCACTAGTATAAGATATTGGTTGTTTCTTTACATTTTGGTATAAGAGCATATAAAAATCTTCGTTTTGCTACATATAACGGATGGCATTTCCCGTCGCCGATGTCTTTATCGTTTGTGTTATTCTGCATATATATGTATTTATATTCATTCAGGAATCCAGACACACACCAGACGGCGAGAGCTATGGTTTGTTTAATAATAGTATGGCAGGCGCTCACAAAAATTAGGCTGCAAAGAGATATTTAGCGCGTGAATTGTATACAGCGTAGACTGTTATTACCGACGATGACAAGGGATACTGGAATGGCCATTTCTGACTTATAAACCGTCATCAGCCAGTCCTACCCAGATCCGAAGTTGTCGGGTTCCGATCGGAAACGTGCAATGGTAGAGAGGAGCTCGCCGATCATTCTTACGGAACTCACTCGTTCAGCTTAGATCATTCTCCGTTGTGCGACTGCTGGCTGGGCTCGAGAGAGATCCCGTAAGGCACAAAGGGACGAATGAGGGCCGTAAGAACCGTCAGTACGCGCCCCCTACCATTGTACACAGGGTATTGGTAAAGCAGAAAAAATACCTCCAGCTTGATATATTATGTTGATCAGATGTTTTGATATGTTCACAATTACATAGGCCATTCGCTTTGCGATACCATCAGATATTGGCTATCATTGCTTTTCAAAATAGGACAATTTAAAAATCTTCTCTTTGTTACACATGAAGAATGGTATTTCCAGTCGCCGTTTTATTTATCAGTTTTGTTATTCCGCATATACATGTGTGTATTTATGAATCACGGAGGTAGTCTATATTTCGAGACGATATAGTACAAGAAGAACACTCTTCGGAAAAACAGTATCTACTCGTGAATTTTTGAGTCAGTCACACCAACCCCTCGCGATCGGACTCAAAAATGTATCTCGATTTTCCGACTAACCTTTTCCTTTTATTACGTGCATTTATATTCACACAGGAATCACCACACGCCAACAGATT